GTTGTGACTTTTCAGGTTTTTCCATAAGTTGTTGGAGAAAACTTTGTGATTGAATGGGGCCAGAGGAAAACTTGTGAGTTAGTAAAAAATCAGAATGTCTTTTCTGTGGAAAATTCTGGTATCATAAAATGTGTTTTTTCAACCAAAATGGGGGTTAAGGGTAAAAATATTGTATTTAGTTTACTGAAATTTTGTCAAACAACCAGAATTCAGGGTTGGTTTACAGAATTGGTGGCACAGTGAAGATGTTGATCTGAGGACCCTCTTCCAGGACAGGTAATGTATTTCCATACCAGTTCAAACAGCCTTTCTAGAAGGTACGTAACAGAGCCAGAAGCAGCAACTAGGAGCCAGGATTCCTGTCCCCCAGGTGAGTGTCTCCCCAGGGGACTATGAAGTTGAATTCCTCTTCCCTCACCCTCTGGCCCTCTGACACCTGCATTTCTTCCTCTGCCATTGTCTGTCTCCAACAGAGATAACACCCTTTGGCTGTGGCTTAGTGCTGAAGCCCCTTTCCTGGGAGGCAGGAGTTTCAAAGGCCACAAAGACCACAAGAAGTGGCTGAAGCTTCTCTGCTGTACCTGAGAAAATGAATGTCCTCACCTGAGGAACAAGAGATTGAGATTGGATCTTGGCCGGGTTGTTCTTTCCATGAAAAGGACTCTAGGAAAGGATGAAGCTCAGATGAAAAGTCATGGCTGAGTCCTGGTAACCCATCCCTGCTGGTGGAATAAGGGGATAGGAGGGATATCAGCCCCTATGGGGTAAGGGGAAGGAGGCTGGGCAAAAGGGATAGGAATTATGCTGAAGCCCCTGTTGCAGCAGGGGCCACCACCTTAGGCACCTCCAGCTTCTCGCTCTTAGAGTGGCAGCAAGGGTTTCTGTAAGCTTGGCATAGGCAAGTAGAAAGAAAAGACAAATGCATAATTAAATTCCACCATTGGCATTAATATATGCCCTCTGTTAGTGGGGGAGAAGAAAAGAGTAAGGTTATACATCTTTACACTTTTGCTAGTGAGGTGACCTGTACATAAGATGTACCTTAGATAAGCAGTGCCATGTCTTCTTCTTTGTCCCTTGCAAGCAAACTCTAAGAGTGAGATACACTTTTTCTAATCCTGTGATTGAGTCTAACCCGGACCTTGATGTTAACTGGCTTCATTCATATCCTAAAGCTTAAATTATACTTTAGATGTTCAGCCATTGAAAAATGATTGTTTTTCCATGATGACTAACCCTACCTGAGAAGCATTTGACTAGGCAATTTCTCGAGAGCTTTTCCAAGCCCTTAAGTTTCTACAGTTCTTTCATTCACTAGACAAGCTGGCCTGGCCCATGCTAACTCTTTGTTTTCCTTTGCAATTAAAATGTTTCAGCTGCCATGTGGAATATGTGAGACTTTTCAGAGTTGTCAGAAGCTCAGCAGGATGACATTGAGTGTTTGCACTGCACTTTATAACAATCCTGAGATTAGTTCCCAGATCAACCTTGTAGCTATTTTAAACAAGTGGAAGGTACGGACTGCTGAATTAATCCATTTTGCTCATTGGCATATGATTCTGTTCGCACTTTTTATTTCACTCTTCCTTATTCTACAGCCCAAAATACACTTCCAAACATGCCTCTGTGCCATCCCAAAATGAAAATGTGACTGTAGATTACCCATCAATCTTTGACAGCCTAGCCTTTCTTTTGGTCCGACAGTGAATCTGGAAAGGGCTTTGGATGCTATTTCTTTTCCTTTTAAAGCTAGAAGATACCAGTTCAGTGGCCATGTATTTCTCTTTCATTACACTCTCTTCTTTCTGCCAGTTTTTTGGGGTTTGTTTTTTTTTTTCAATAATCATGCTCTGCTCGCCTTGTTTTGCACTTTTCAGTGATCATAGCATCAGTGGCCACAAGCATGGCCATAATTCCTTAAAAGGACTGAGATCCCTGACAAGGCTGTGAAAGAGGGGGAGCATGAAACTCGCTCCCATCCCACTGAATCTGTAGCCTGGAGGAGCTTTTCGGGGCTACTCTGCTTCCTTTGCCATTCTAGATGATAGTCCTTAATGTGCACTGAATTTAGCCTGCTTTGCTACCCTGTGTTGCTAGTGTTCACAGATTTTTGAGGAGCTGGTCAGGCAGCCTATTGCCAGACCCATATGCCCTAGGAGGCAGCACTTGTGAATCATCTGTTGGATGTGACACACCTTTGAACCTCACTGTGTTGCCAGAAGTAATGCTTTTTCTGGAGTGCCTATGTTCAGGCTGCAATGAAGGAAAGATGACGTTGGTGAAGGCTCAGATCAAAGCTGGTTGTTGAAGCATGCAGTGCCTCTTGACTGACCACTGGGTCTGACTTTGTGCCTGGGTGTTTCCAGTCAATCTCTGCGCTCTCTCCCTGCCCGGTGAATACAACACTCAAGCATTGTGAGGAGGGGGGCTATGGGTTGTGAAGGCACCTCAAGCTGAGGCGGCTGCCCTGAGGAGCTGGCTCATGAGAATGTCTGCCCTGGGCACGGCAGGTCTGCAAGATCTGTGATAAAGTCTTCATCACCAGTGGTAACTGGAGAAATACTAGCACACTTTTCCCAACAACTGCTCAATCCAGGATTCAGCACCAGTTCCAGCCGTTGACAATTATACTCTCCCTGTAGCTTTGCTTAGATGCTGTGTTTGTCACAACAGATCTAACCTGTAAAGATACTGCTTTTTGCTCCAGCAGGGATGCCTTTAGTGACAGATAAAATGATTTTGGTGTACAGTAGATAACGTCCTTCAATTTGTTAAATTTGCCAACTGCTTTGGGAGCCTGTGTGATGAAAGGTGTCACAGAAATGTAAAGTGCTATTATTCATCCTAAATGACTCTGTTCCATTTTGTAAAAAAAAAAAAAAAGAGTGTATGCTTATTTCCTGCATTCTGTGCAATGTTTGGTTGGTTTCTTTAAATCCTCTCATGGAACTACGATCATTAGTCCCTTAATCTAGGATCTCGACTACCCTCAGAAAGGACTTTTTCTGACCTTTGTTAGGCAGTTATTTACCTTACCTACTTTTTTAGTTCCTTGAGCAATCTTTTTTCCGTGACTAATTTTAAGGCACCGATTTTCAGTGCTTTTTACTTAAACACATCGTGAGTTTAAGCATGCAAATGCAGTTCATAGTGCTCAGTGAGTCCAAATACTTTGTCTCCTTGTACTCACTTGACTGATTTACTGTATTTTCCCATGTCCCAGGATTAATTACAAAGAGCTGAAATAGAAAGGCTTGACGAAGAACTAATCCTGGTGTGAGTGCAAGGAAGAGAGATGTGTGAGACAGCAGTCCGGTAAACCTCTAGCTGGAGGTTTAGTTGCACCTAAACGCTGTCATTCATGGAGCCAACTCAATCCATCAATCAAAACCCTGTCAGTCTAAACAAGTCTGAAACTTGAAAAAGTTTGCTTTAGTTGGCATTTAATTTTCCCTTGGCATCCAATTCTTAGTTTTAATTAGAATATCTCACACAAAATAAGCTTCATTTTGAGTCCAGCTCCATGAGGTATTGTGTGTAGTTGTGAGAAGTTTCAGCTCCAACTTGCAGACGTAGGAATGAACAACATAGGCAAAGTGAGCCGTTCCTCAGAAAGGACATCTGAACAGTTTGTAGGGTCTCTCATTGTTTCGCAGAGCAACATTTCCACATTTCTGTAACCTGTGGATGTTAGAGGGCTGATAATTTCTCATGCAGCCTCTGTTACTTCAAAAAATATTTAAAACACGTTAGTGATAAAATATGCTATTAGCCAATAAATTATGAGTCTACAGGTTCTGAAACTGCAAAGACAGTATATAATACTTCTGAAATTGTGTATAAATTTTCCTCTGAAAGCCAATGTTTATGGAAAAAGTTGTAAGGTAAGCAAAAACTTTATGCTTCATGCTACATCTAGAACATCAACATAATATTTTTAAGGGCAACAAAGGTAATCTAATGGATCACATCATTTAGGTAATAGAAAGATGCAATGAACAAACTAAAAAATAACTATGTGACTGTTACAATGTGTAAAGTACATGCCATTTGGTGGATTTGCGCTTGGAGCATATAAAGCAATGGAAAGACCTGTAGTTTTCTTCCAAAACTATCTGCAACCGGCAGATCATAGAGATCAAGTCAACAGGTGGACCTGAAAAATAAAGCATCAAGATGCCGAGGTACAACTGACTGTAAGAGACAGCAGCTAATACTGATCTTTTTTTTTACTGGGCATCTTCAGTGGAGGGAAGTAGAACCTGTCAAGTCAAATAATTGAATGGAAATAAGATGGTTCAATAAGGAATGAAAACCAAGGATGAAGTAATAATGATCAACATCCAATACCAATGTCTAAACATTTATGTATGACAATGATACCATAATTTTGGCTTTTATAATACAATACAGCATGTTGTGTTTTCACTGAAGCACTTTTTTTTTTTTCCTGTTCTGGTACATTATTCATCTTATTATAGCGTATCCATCGTGTCTTTGGGATATTAAATGCCAAAGCAAACTTTGTTTTGAAATCTAGGCCTCCAATTAAGGAAGTTCTGCTGTATTCTCTAGCATTTACAGATTATCTATATGGTACATGTTCACCATACTTGTAAGTTTTATGACTGTAGCTGAATTTCTATCATCTTTAAAATCACCAGTTAAAAGAGCTAATCTGTGGGCAGAAACAGTTTTAAGATTCTCCTGCAAAACTGTGACTGCTATCATGCCCCAGATGGAGAGGGCATGTGAGTGCCTTAAATAACATGTTTAAATTGCTGTTTCTGCTCCTCTCTCTACTACTTTGAGCCTTTTTTTCTTCAGACAAAGCTCAGTCTCACAAATCCTCTCCATTCATGTCTTTTAAAAGGGGAACACTGAAACCAATTATGTGGAAAATATTGTCAATGCATTGAAGAAAAAAATACAGGGATAGAAATGCAGCTATTTTTGTGGTGTCTTTCTGGCCAGAGTGCAAGAGAAAGAGGCTCTCGAAGAGCACGCCTGCCATCAGATCCCTGCTCTTTTCATCATGTTTCACCACCTCTGAAGACCTCAACTTTATAAACGTGACACCAACAAGGCTCTGTGAGGTTAGAAATTCCTGTGCCACATTCGGTGCCATTCACTCTATTTTCTGCAGTTATTCAAGCATCCCCGGGACAGGCGATGCTTGAATGTTGAGATATATGCTGCAGATGAAATTTCAGTAACTCCAGGATGAGTTGCTGGGAGGTGGCTACGTTTTATACCCAATGCCTGTTCCTTGACAGCCGTGCAAGAAACCCAGCTGTGGGTTTAGCCATGTGGCTGCTCATACGTGCAGCAGGGCAGAGCCACCCTAACCTAGCTGTGGGGGTTTGTGGGCCATGGGGATGGAGCACAGGGCACGCAAGGAGAAAGCCAGAGCCCAGTTTGACGGGCCTAGAGAGGCGGGGAGGTGGCGGGCTGGGGGCCCAGCTGCTGTTTTCAGCCACCTAAGGGGGGTTACGGGGAAGGGAGTGCCAGGCTCCTCACAGAGAAAGAATAAGAGGCCACGGGCATGAGTTGCTGCTAGGGAAATCCCAGACGCCGCCCTCCATCCCTGGCTGCCCACGCTGCCTGGCTGGGACCGCGGGGAGCAGGTACAGGGCAGGCAGGACCCCGGGGAATCGACCGCCCGAGGATGCGCAGCCCCGGGG